CACACCCACACCCACACCCACACCCCACACCCACACCCACACCCGATTTCCCTATTGCCTTTTCAGTCAGATCAATTTCCAACTCTATACGGAGAATACCTTGACGATGCAACAATTGAAATAAAGATGTCTCGTGTCGATCTCGTACATTCAAATAATATTCTCATGTTTATTTTTCGTCGACAACAATCAACAACAGGTACAGTCGCTGATTTGAATGAAGAAGCACATGTTATGCGTCCATAAAAACATTTAATTTGCACTTATCTGGCACAAAAAGACTCTTTCGTCGAATTCGATTTGTAGTAGAAAAAATTTTTGCACGTCCACTCGATTTATCCTTATCGATTGATCGTAATACAACTATGTATGAATCAGCAAAACCAATGTCTCTTCTATATTAACCATTAACATTATATGATGATACATTTATATTACAAGAATATTTTATTCCGAAACCATTTTTTCGACAATGGTACGATCAATTAAAAATAATTCTTCAAGAAAAATATAGTCATATTTTTCTACTCAATTCAACAATACGTTTTGTAAAAAAAGATCAAACAATATTTTAATCATATACAAAAAATGCTGATTGTTATGCATTTGTTTTCTATTTTCGAGTTAAATGTAATGAAATAGGTGATCAACAAGTACATATATATTACATCAAAAACTGATTCAATTAGCATTTAATTGTCATGGTACGTTCTATTTGCCTTATCGTCAACGTTATACATTTGAACAAATGTTTCAATCATTTCAAATGATTGGTATGAAAACTATGAACAACAAACTCTTATAAATCAACCAAAACATATTAGTTTATTATCTATGGAAAAAGTTGATTTAATTACAAATCAATTTTCAATTGTTGAACAACGATGAATGCATTCATTTCGTGATGTAATCTTAGATGATATTTTGAGAGAAAAATTCCGTAAATTTCTCCATACTGTATTTAATGCAGAGCCAACTTATGTAATTTTTAATTATATCAATCGTGCTGTTCGAAATTCTGCCAATCAGAATGATCACGATATTTATCGAGATTTACAACATGCTCTTAAAACAAGACAATTTGCTTTTATTCGAGGTCTATGGACACTTATTAAACAAATCATACAATTACGAATACAAATAAAAGATCTCATACGACAACAAATTACTATCTTCAAACATTTAGGATACTGCAGAATGGTAAAAATCATGAAACAAGGTTTGATCAAAAACGTTAAAAATATTTTTTTTTTGTTTCGCTCTAGATCAAAAATATAGTTAGCATAGGTGATGGTGATCGATGTATTGGTGATTTACGTCAAAATATACAAAATTAAAAGTGGCCGAGTATTCATTGTGAATGATAAACAACGTCTAACGGATGTTATCGAACGAAATAGTTTGTTTTCAATAGGTACTTTCATTCCATATGATTTTAAAAATCTTACCGATATACCAATTCCAAGTGAATCAATTGATCTCGTTGTTTGTTATATGGGTTACATCATCTACCACAAGAACAATTGAACATATTTTTTCAAATGATCTATCGTATACTTCGTCCAAATGGTATTTTTCTTTTTCGAGAACATCATGCTCGACAAGAATTAATTCCATTATTGAATGTTGCACATATGGTATTTAATGTTGTTACTGGTGTAGATTATGAATCGGAAATAAATGAAATTCGAGCATTTCGAACAATTGAAGATTGGCGTTCATGTTTAAGACGTGCTGGTTTTGAAGATACATTTGTTTATGATGAACAAGAAGATGATTCAACAGATGATATTATGATTGTTTTTCGAAAACCAGAACAATACAATCAAATAATAAATATAGAATGGAATGAAAATTATCAGAAAATTATTACTAATCCAGAATCAAATTATTTTCGACAATGTGAATGGTTAGTTGTTCGAATTTGTATGCAATTTGGATAATATTTAAATCATACACCTTTCTATTATTTTCCCTTTGTTAAATTTCTCGTACATTATTGGTCATTGTTCCTTTCTGAAACTAAATTATCAATTAAAAAAATATGGTTTTCTAACAATACTCTTTTGATCACCTGATTTTCAAATGAATGTTTTTGTTGGTATTTTTATGACTGTAACGTTATTGCCTCTGATATTGCCTTCATTCCTCGTACGAATTTTCTCACCTCGAACTATACTCGAATATGAACAATTAGTTCTTGAATAGACAGAAAATATTGATGAAGATCCATTCAATTTTCAACAATCAATCGATCCACATATTGATCATGTGCAAATTTTGAAAAAGAAAGATTTCTATGCCATACGAGTACCAAGACATCATATATTCATGTCTATATTAAAAAAATTAGCTATGCATTCAGGTCAATTCAATCTTCATTATATTTCGGATCGAGATGATCAAATTCAAATTGAAAATTTAATTAATAATGATGATGATGATGCACCACGGTTAATGTGGTTAAAACAACAACCCAGTATTGATGTTATATATGAATATAAGAATTCAATCGATAATAAACAAACAACTTTGATTGTAGGAATCAAAACTAAAGAATTATTTTCATTGATTCGGAACTGTACAAATTTTGAATCTGATGGTTCAATGACAATTGTTCAAATTTTTGATTATTTTGAATAGATTACCTATCACTCTTTGTATCCTATTTAGACTAATAATTGACTATTATTAAAATATTCATTTTGCATTTTCATATATTCTATGGATTGCATTGTTGCATGATATTTTTGCTTTTTTTTCTTATGTCAAAAGTCAAAAGTTTATCAATATAAGAATAGAAAGATTGTAAAATCGTTTATAAGAAAAACAATATTGCGCAGCACATACTATTACATTAGATATCTATTTCAGTTAATTAATCGAAAACTTTTTCGTCAAGATTGTATTGATATCTGTTTTGCTCAGATACATCGAGTACACGTTATTATCTAGGTGTGAGTGTGGATATGAGTATCATTCTTTTCCTCACACCCACACCCACAAAATTATTGTCTTTTAAAATTGCATCTAAGCAAAGTGCGCCTTCTGAAGATTGTCTACGGCAGCAAATCCCATGGCAGTGAATCCAGTATACGGATTTGATACTGTAAAATGCGTGTGTCAGCAACGGATAATGTCACAATATAAATAGTTATGATTTGTGATATTTCCTTTACAATCTGTTGTACTAATCCTCCCATAATCTACATGTGATCACGAGGAATTCTCAACATCTCTAGTTTTTCAAATCTTGAAATAATGAAATATCACATTGTTCGTCTTTAACTGTAAACTCTATTGATGCTTACGCTTTAATCGTTTCAGATTTGGTATCTCATTGTTTCATCTATATATTTAGATTATTCATTATTGTGCATCCAATTATTTGTTAGAGTTGAAAAGAATTTGTTGATGATCATATTCAAATCTTGTTGATTAAAGACTATCATTTTCTCGATTTTAATATTCAGTCGTAAAAATGTCTTTAGATATTGTTTAGAGGATATGAATCAAGTATGCATTTTTGAAAAAGACATATGAATCTTTAAAAGAATATTTTATATTGAATAAAAACTATTTCAAGATCAGTTCGGATAAAGATTTAATTTATTAAAAATATTACGTAGAAGCACTAGGATATTACTACTGAGCCCAAGCTTGAGTAATCGAATTTTCTGTGAACGGATGGAATCGATGAAAAGATAACAATACTCAACATTCAGGAAAAAATGATGATATGTAGTAGAAACACGTTTTCGTTGTGTTCAGCGTTTTTTTTTCAATCGTCTTTCGAAATGCATATTATAGGACAAGAACAATAATTCAACAACCAAGAAGATGAAAAGACCGACGTGGAAGCATATTTTGCTCAAAATAGTGACTCTCCGAAACTCAAATTGTCACTACTCGAATTAAAAGCTCGAGAAATGAAGATTGTGGCGAAGAAAATAAGTAACAATAAAGTGTGTGAATAATACCTTCTTATTGAGAATTATCAGACGGAAAATTATAGAAATGTGTATGATCTACTATTTTTAATCCTTTTTCCTACACGTTTTGCTAAATATTTGCTTATTATGCTACTTGAAACTAAGATTTTAATTCTTTTATTTTCTCTTTTCATCAATAATTGTATCATTATCAAATATCGTTTCTATTTCTACTGATCTTTCTCAGTCATCACTTACAAAAGCAGAATAGACGAGAACAGAACAAATTTCACTTAGAACAACTGCATCTATCGACGTACAATATGTTATTAAAAATCATATTAAATAACTGTGACCAAAATCACAAGTTAAACGAACGAATGAGGCAAAGCTTTGTATTAATTTTGTTTTTGATAACTCTGCAATAGAATATCATAGATACTTGATCTTTTGTTTTTCTTTCGAAAGAGCAAAGTGTCTAGTGCAAGAATATATAAAAGACACTGATTAGAAATGTTTTTCTTATGCTAAAAAAATCTTAGAACAAAAGACGTCGAAAAAGTCTTCTGAAACTTTGGTCACATGTTTTTTTTATCCGGAACTATTTATTTGAGTTTTCTCACTTTCTACTTTCGAGCAGCATATCTATACAATGATTCATTATAACTAAAGCATTCATTTAGTATTGAAATAATTGATGTAGCATATAACAGAATGAATAAAAGACAATATTTTATTTAAAAAATTAATTATCTGAATTTGACTTTACAATGTGAATTTTTTTTTTGTTAGAATCTTCCAGGAAAAAGCTGCATCCTATTTCAAATAATATCGCTCGGTAGGGTATTCAATAAGTTTCATTTTTTATATAGAATATATAATGATCTCGTAATTTCTCTCTTGACTTCGAGTTTATTTTTTGACTGATATCCACCATGATAAAAAATTGTCACATTCTATCGCCATTGTCTTTATCTTCTTATCAGATCAATATCTGTTGTCTAATTATCTTTCTCATCATTGATCTTGTAGTCAATTGGTTTGGAAGCGAAGGAACACAATATCTACCTGATGGTTTACGAAATAATATAGTAAAGTTTCTTTTTTCATATCATTCATTTCAATATTAACATTCCCATTTCGACAGTTACAACACTCATAATTAGCAACAATGGTATTGACAACGAGGCAGCCAAACACATGTGGCTAATATTTTAACAAATACAACAGTGAACTTCGTTCATTCTTCATTTCTCTCATATTTATATTGACTTTTCATCCAGACACTCACCTCACTCGAACTTTTTAATAATACATTGGGATCATTTGATTTGTCTATATATATCGTGTCATAATTGAACAATAAATCTTCGGTTTAACAATGGCAGATTTTCAATTTTTAAAATCTTATAGAAAAAACATATAGCACTTCTATTTCTATTATAACTTTAAAAGAATTCATACAATATGTCTGCATTTGGTAATAAAGAGATTTAGAATAAAATCAAACAGCTCTTAACTGTTTGATTTTAACAAATATCACCAACTTTGACTTGTTCAAAATAAGATAATTACAAAGTAGGGTCTTCCAAAAATCGAAAGTCAAATTTCATCAACTTGAAGTTTGACATCATATAATCAATTAGTCATATTTTTTTGTATATTTTCAATGTATTCTTCACGAACCAAAATAGCTGGTATTGGTAAATCTTTATATATTATTTTTCTTTTAGTTACTACAAGAATATTCACTACTTTATTCAAGTGTCTAATCATCAAATACTATGACATATAATGACACAAATTTTGATATAACTATTGTTGTCTATATTTCTTTTATCATTCATTGAAAAAAATTATTTTCATTATTATTTATTTTTCGAATGGCACTCATTTCGACTAGGTGAATACGCGTTGTTTTTAAAATGAAATGAAATTCCTGTTCTAAGTTATCTTAAATGACTGCTTTATCATGAAAATAAATAGTGTACTTAATCATAAAATTTTCAATAAAATATAGCGAAACGTTACGAATTTTTATATCACCAAACGTGCACTATAAAATTTACTACCTTCAATATATTCCAGATTATAAATGATAATCTACTATAGATTGATTTGTTATATTCAATATTGTTTTCCTTTAGAAGTATTCTAACTTTTATTATCAAATATATCTTTAATAGTCAACATGTTTTTTTTAATCATAATTATTTTGATAATAATATAAAAAATGTCAATTATTAATTCGATTTTCAATAAAATTTATCATTACAATGCTTCAAATATTTATTAAACATTTAACGTTGTCTGAAACAATTATCTTGGTATCTGAAAATTATATGTCAACACAACACATTTTAACAATCAATAACAGACATATGCGTAACTCTAAATCTTCAATTTAAAGAGCGTGTACTCTCGACCAAAAAACTAATGAAACATTCTCACTAACAGTTTTGTTGTATGGTGATTGGGAAACAATTACGATTATTTTCAATTTATCTATAAATAAAACCTCAATAACATTAATTGTTTTTTTTTTATTGTTTCAAAGTACTAATTAACTACTTGAAATAAAACTTGTATAAATTATAACACTACTGTTTTTGTTTTACAAAATGGTCACAAAAAAAACACTCGATTGTCTTCATTAATCGAAACGACCACATACAAATTACAGTATGTTTATACTATTTTAACATAAACGATTTCACAGTGTCTGTAATGGGGAAGGCGGTGCTGTCAAAACTTGACTTTAAAACTTATACTCACTATTTTCTTCGAAAATATATGTAAGTTCCACAAAATACTGATTTGAGTGTGGATATGGGTGTGAATGTTAATGTCTTCTTCAATCCATACCCTACATATATATAAGATCAATACTTTTCTTTTTCGACGACGACATTATATCGATCTACGTCAGACAAGAAAAAAAAGATAATAAAACACACACATATCACCACATAAAAACTGATCATCAAATCAATTATGTAGTGTTATATGTTGAACATATCAATTCACGTGTGCAGAATGATTGATAAAAAATCAATCAACTAACCATAGGGTTTATAAAAATATCGATGCATCATCATAAAACATTACATTCATGTTTTCTCAATATGATGCATTATAATGTAATTATATACCCGGGTACATTATTTATTATTATATTATTTACAATGATAATGATATTATTATATTTTAAGTAAGGTAAATTACTTGTCTCTATATTTAACAATACTTTTTTTTTAGATGAACTACGATACAATACAATATTGAGAGGTAGGAAAAAATTTTTTTTTTTATATGCTGAGTTGAGATAACTTACTTCGAGAAAAAATAAATACTGTCAGTTATTTATGAGTATGAGTTTATTTGAGATGAGTTGAGTTGAGTTATCAATGTGGGTCAGATAGCTGCGTTGTCGGATTCTATAGGCAGAGGAACTTTGTCATAGCGAAGTAGTGTAGCACTAGGGAAGGCCTCTATGTGTCGTTGGTCTCTACCGTTCATACGGCATACCCTCGGTCATTGCCCTACCAGTCCGGCGTGGTCCGCCTGTGGTACCTATGGCATTGACAAGGGATCTCTTCCTTGTCACGCGCGTGGGTAAGCCAAAATGAGCCGAGAAAAATCGAAACGATTAGCAATGTGAATAAATTTATTGAGCAAGCCAAAAAGAAAAAATTACAGTTACATTTTCTTTTTTACATAGCCAATGTTATCTTTCGTTTCTTTAATTAGAGGATGTGTTGGCGGAAGTGATTTTTGACGGATAACAAGTGCCTTTTCTAAGAATGAGAGTGCTTTCGAGTAGTCACCTTTGCCGTAATACGCCAAACCGATATTGTGGTAGGAATAAGCGAAATCGGGATGATTCGAAGGCAGAACTTTTTTCGTGATTTCGAGATCTTTTTCGTAAAATTCAAGTGCTTTCGAGTAGTCACCCATGTTGTTATACACTCCACCGATGTTGTTGTAGGAAGTAGCCAATGAGGGATGATTCAGAGGCAGAGCTTTTTCGAAGATTTGATGTGCTTCTTCGTAAAATTCAAGTGCTTTCGAGTAGTCACCCATATTCTTATACACTCCACCGATGTTGCTGTAGGAAGTAGCCAATGAGGGATGATTCGGAGGCAGAGCTTTTTTCGTGATTTCGAGATCTTTTTCGTAAAATTTAAGTGCTTTCGAGTAGTCACCCATGTTGTTATACACGAGACCGATGTTGTTGTAGGAAGTAGCCAATGAGGGATGATTCGGAGGGAGAGCTTTTTCGAAGATTTGATGTGATTTTTCGTAAAATTCAAGTGCTTTCGAGTAGTCACCCATGTCATCATACACTCCACCGATGTTGTTGTAGGAAGTAGCCAAAAAGGGATGATTCGGAGGCAGAGCTATTTCGTAGATTTGATGTGCTTTTTCGTAGAATTCAAGTGCTTTCGAGTAGTCTCCTTTGCCGAAATACGCCATACCGATGTTATTGTAGGAAATAGCCAATGATGGGTGATTCGGAGGCAGAGCTTTTTTCGTGATTTCGAGATCTTTTTCGTAAAATTCAAGTGCTTTCGAGTAGTCACCCATGTTGTTATACACTTCACCGATGTTGTTGTAGGAAGTAGCCAATGAGGGATGATTCGGAGGCAGAGCTTTTTCGAAGATTTGATGTGCTTCTTCGTAAAATTCAAGTGCTTTCGAGTAGTCACCCATGTTCTTATACACTCCACCAATGTTGTTGTAGGAAGTAGCCAATGAGGGATGATTCAGAGGCAGAGCTTTTTCATAGATTTTATGCGCTTTTTCGTAAAATTCAAGTGCTTTCGAGTAGTCACTCATGTTGTCATACACGAGACCGATGTTGTTGTAGGAAGTAGCCAATGAGGGATGATTAGGGGGCAGAGCTTTTTCTTTAATTTGATGTGCTTTTTCGTAAAATTCAAGTGCTTTCGAGTAGTCACCCATGTTGTTGTACACTCTACCGATGTTGTTGTAGGAAGTAGCCAAATCGGGATGATTCGGAAGCAGGGCTTTTTCTCTTATTTTAAGTGCTTTTTCGTAAAATTCAAGTGCTTTCGAGTAGTCACCCATGTTGTTAT